TAACATTTACTTATCCAGGCAAGATATTCTGGGAATGACTTCCCAGGCAACTAGCAAGCATCCGAACAACAACTGCCCTATCTGGCTAGTTGTTACACAGTAGCAAACAACAATAATAGCAACAATGAAACCCTGAGACACCACCATGGAGACAAGAGAGTGTAGCCATCAATCAGAGAAACAGAAAGAAAAGCTTGGAAGGTGGGTACATTTGGTTTGCAATGCCCCAACTTTGGGGTGTTTCTGGGATTTCCAAGTTGTGAAGTCTGAAAATTGTTAGAAATACACCTTGATACCCAAGAATTACAGAGGTTTAAACAGAAAAAATTGAAACAGTATGAACAAGAATGATGGACCACAAGGTTGTATACCCCTGTGACATTTAATGACACAGAGAAGCATTTAATGAACACTGCTAACTCTGCAAAGTCCATGGAATAAACACGTTTTTGTATAACTCCCTGCAGAGAGAAGCACCAGTGGATAGGCAGAAAAATCTTAAGACTGTAGGTCACTTAAATTCTATTTTTCTTTATTCTATTGCATATTTTTATTTTTAAATGCAGTTTTTTATACTGACAGACACTGAGCATCTATAAAATCTCCAGCAACTTGCTAAGGGATAGATGACAAGTATATATTGGTTTAAAAGAGAGTTTTAACAGCTTTTATTAACTGAATTATTTACCCAGAGAATGCTGACAAACCCAAGGCAGGAAGTGATGTGCTGGAGGTCACTGGGTCACCCACCCAGCTCTTTAGCAAAGTCTAATTCTGGCAAGCAATAGAAAAGGGGATTTCAAGGATTCTTCTACAAGGTGAGAAAGCTCTATAAATACAGCTGTAAAAATGCTTAATCATACCCCTTGGACGTGATCATCCTCGTGGCATTTCACCAAGACTCTCCAAAGCAAAGCAGAACTGTCGGTCCTTTACAAAAAAGAGAAAGGAAGAAAAGAAAAAGAAAGTGACAGAAGAAAACAGACAAGAAGAAAAAGAAAAAAGCACGCTGGGATGTTTCCCCAGTTTTTAGGAGGATGGGTCCACTGCCAGCTGCAACTCAGTCTCTGCTTTTGAATGCATGTCCATCCACCCACCCTGGGCCTTTGTCTCATCATAAATACATAGATTTGAACACTTGCAGAATGTAGTTAAGAGCCAAAATGTAATCCCTTCAGGTTTATTGAATTCACAATATCTACCGAATTTGAAAATCACATTGTTCTCTGTAGCTACTGGATTCTCGGAAGATCACTCTACATCTGGGGTTGAGCCACAACAAGATGAAGAGGACTCCCCCACAGCAGAACGCCGGTTCCATTCGTTACCCCAGGCAGAAAGCTTTTACCTGTAATTACATAAATCCATTACAGGGTTTTAACCAATGCCTGACATGAATTAGAGTTACAAAACACATAACCTTTAGTTGGCCCTATATTTCACTCTTTAAATTGGGTCACAATCACGTGACCAATAGCAAAAGGACTCCACAAACAGTCCCCTTCCACTTGTCAGATGTTGTAATTGATCATCGTTGGGGCTGCACAAAGCACACAGCTCTGCTCTAACCTTTTGGGTTCATCTCCTGAAAGCATACTAGATCATATTCGCTTTGTGGCTTTCTGTGCACAAGACCCTTCTTTCTATGCCCTTGAAGGTGGTGTGGCTATAAATGCGTATTTGGATGCCCTAGGAATCTAATACCTGTGGTTTGCGTATTCATTCTGATAGCTTTAACTGCCTCCAGCTCTGGTGAGGTGAAGAGCTGGGCCACCATAAGGACGACTGCAGCTCACCTTCACACATACGCTGTATGGCTCGCTCCTCCATCATCGGCCACTCTGATAGATCAGAACATTGGCTGTTTCCCCAAAAGCACAGAGCCTTAGAGGACAGAGCGGTAGGGATGGAGTTAAGCTGTGCTGGCTTTTGAAAAGCCTTTAACTTGGACATTTCTGAGGAGTGCCACCTTGTCGGCTAACTTGTTTCAATTCTTTCTTCAGTTGATAAAAAATGTAGGCAATGGCACCTATGACTATAAAGGATAATGGATAATTTAGCCCAATTGGTACACAGTGTGATCTGCGTGGGATAAATGTCAGTTAACAGCATTAAAATGGTGTTTCTCCAGGCACTGAAATCTGTAATACTTTCATTGCCTACAAAAGGTCTCTTGGTCCCTAATTTCACACACCAAGGGCTCATCAACACCACCTTGAGAGCTGTTGTGAAGTCTAGGAGGGAAGACAAAAGGACCTCATGGCGTCTCTTTCCAGAGCTCAGGCCTGTGCCCAATGCTTGTGTGGGTCTGGCCCTTCCTCATTCAGTTCCCTTAGGAAGCCCTGTCTCTTCCTGGGCCTTTCTCAACTCTCATCCTGGGATTCAGCAACCATTTTTAAGGTTAACATTCAGACCCTTTGGGAGTACTCTCTGGTATTTAGCAGATATTGTGTGTTTACAAAACCTTCGACCTTGCTCTCTCTGCTCACATCAATTCCTGCTTGACATACTCGGCTCATTAAGAAAAAGGTTTTGTTTAACACGTGACAGTCTTTAAATGGAGCAATACCTAAAGAGTCAGCTGGTGGGTAAGTCCCTTCCCACACTGGCAGCAGGCTATCACAGCTGCAAGGAGACACCTTCTCAGGGAGGAAGTATAAGTCTCTCTGTGCTGTGAGATTCTAGAATGTCCACAGACTGAGTAGAAGACAAAGAACCAGCTGCCTGGACCTTAGGACACACACAGCTGATCCCTAAGAAAGGGAAGACATGTCCCTTGTCCTCAGCGTTCCAGACTCCTCTGTGTAGCTGCTTCGTCTGGATCCCTGATCAGAAATAAAGGAAGGAAAAGTCACTGCTCAGCCTTGAAGGGGGATGCTGAAGTGAGTCTGGCAAGTGGTAGACAGGACAGCTGCTCCCCGCTCTGCAAACAGGGGTTCTTAAAGTCAGATCTGAGATTGGTGACCTGCTGCCGATGAGGAGTCTGAGATAACAGAAAAGGTTAACAGTGTAACAACAGTAGCTAGTCACAGGGCTTCACGTGCAGGTTTACATGCTCCCAGTCTCTCACACACACACACACACACACACACACACGCGCGCGCGCCAAAATGGTGTCAAGTATCCACGGTGTACAAAATTAAGAAGCATAAGGGAATAGACCAAAACATGGGTGGGTGTTGAGAAGGTGTTTTGAGATGCTTTTCTTCTTTCTATTTATCTGTTATTTTTCTACTTACCTATAACCATGAATTGTTATATATTCATCCCAAATCTAAAAAAATGAGTTCATGACATTTTATAAAAAGAGAAATAGAGGGACTGGAGAGATGGCTCAGCGGTTAAGAGCATTGCCTGCTCTTCCAAAGGTCCTGAGTTCAATTCCCAGCAACCACATGGTGGCTCACAACCATCTGTAATGAGACCTGCAGGAAGAATACTGTATACATAATAAAAACAAATAAATAAATATTTAAAAAAAGAGAAATAGAGATAGTCATAATACAGAACTCTTATTTTGAAAGGAGATAACAGCTCACCCTGCAAAAAAAGATATTTCTTATCACATTGATATCATTGGTAATAAGTAACTAAGAAGATGAGTTACATTAGGCAGACGGCCCCTGACCCTTCTTTCTGGGTCAAATATGCCTGCTTTTCTCCTTTCTGTGACCTGTTCTGGGCAGTCACAGAGGACTGGGGATGTTGGTGGGGGCGGGGTGTGGAGGGTAAAGTGTTCACAGACCAGGCTAGTAACTGAAATAAACAACTGTGGGCTTCTCTGAGAGCCTGTCATTCTGTACCAGGTCTCTGTGGCTGGACACACTAAGACACAGGAATTCAATGAAGAACCTTGGTCTTGAGGGAATTGGTGTGATCTTCACTTGGGAATAAGCCAGTTCTCTCAAGGCATCTTAGAGGCAAGACTTGAAAATGGTGCAGGCTTGACCTTTTCAGCCTAGGTGCTGAGGAATGCCATTTTCATCTCCTATAAAGCTACCTTGCTAACCCCATGCTGGCTTCAGAAGCTCAGAGGAAACCTTTAGGAACCATTTCATTGGTTTGAGCATCTGGATCTTCCCCTAGAGACCCCAAGCCTCCTTCCTCTCCTGGGATCCAAATTTGACCGCTTCCTGATCATCACTAAGGGCAGGTACTCAAGCAGCAAGAATTCACATTAGTTGTTGTCTGGAGCAAGGGGTGGGAGAAGGGGGTGGAGAGGTCACCCTGGCGTGAAGGCTGGGGATGCTCTACTAGAATGCTTGTCTTCAAATCCTGCTCAGGGTAGGACTGGGTCCAGTGTAGAGGATATAGGCTTCCAACTCACCCAGGCCCCTCAGTCACAAACGTAACATCTAGTTCAGTGGTTGTCAACCTGGGGGGTCACGATCCCTTTGGGGGTCCAACGACCCTTTCATAGAGGTCACATATCAGATACCATGCATATCAGATATTGACATTATGATTCATAACAGTAGCAAAATTACAGTTATGAAGTAGCAACAAAAATGATTTTATGGTTGGGGTCAGCACCACATGAGGAACTGTATTAGAGGGTCGCAGCATTTGGAAGGTTGAGAACCACTATGCTAGGTGAATGGAGTTTTCACTTGTTCGCGGCTGGAGTGGAGAACTGGGAGAAGAAGTTGGTAGAGGCTATTTGAAAAGCAAGCATATAGAAGGAGAAAAGCTTTGGAAACCTCCGTGGATTATCACGAGGAAGAGGAATTTCAGACACCAGAAGATGGCGCCTAGAGAAAAGAGAGAAGAGGAAGAAATAGTATCTGGAGTGCCAGGTCACCCAATAGGAGTAGAAGAGCCATATGCTGGGCTTGGCACCAGAGACTACAGCATGCAGCATCTTCTCCCCAGATGGGCGTCCTTTCGGCGACCCTGGCTAGCTCAGGTGTCTCGCCTCCACTCCAGTCCCTAGCGCTGCGCAGGAGCGAGAGAGGTGGGGTCGCCACAGACCCCAGATTATAGGCCTGCGAGTTGGGTACCTTGGTGCCCCGGTAGAAGTCGTCGACTGACTGGGTGCCCATGAACGGGAGCTGCATGTGCGTGTGTGTGTCGATGCCTCCGGGCAGGACCAATTTGCCCGCTGCGTCCAGGATGCGCAGCCCCCTGGGCGCGTCCCCGGGAGGCAGCAGGTCCCGTCCCAGCGCCCGCACCACGCCGTCCTCCACTAGCACGTCGGCCACCTGTGAGCAGTCATCATTGACCACGCGACCCCCGCGGATGAGAAGTCGTCCCTGCGGTGCCATGGCCAGAGGTGCTGGCGATCTAGCCTCCCGGAGGAGACCTTTGAGGTCTCCGCAGACTGTGCCCAAACTCCCTCTGGGCTGAAGGCCCGCAGATCTCCAGCAGCGGCTGAGGTGCACGGGTTTAAGTGCTAGACACGGGTGTTGCTCCACCCCAGGGGTGGGCTGGCCTGCCACAGGCCTGGACAAGGTCATGAGCTTAACCCCAGGCGTGCTGTTGCCCACTGAGTTTATGAGTCAATAGAGGGCAGAGGTCTTGGAATTTGAAGAGTGTAGGGGCTTGCTTTCTAGGAAAGGTACTTTAGTGAAAGATAGAAATCGCCTTGGTTCCTCGGTGTGAGCATGTCCGCATCTAAAGGCCGAAGGAGCACGCGTAGTTTACCAGCAGTCATAACTCTTAGAACAGACACACCTGACCTGGCTCCCCCTTTTTGCTGGTGTGTTTGGGATTCTGGTCTTCAGATGGATGGATAAGCAAAGGAGAGGCTGGGGCTGAGCAGAGGAGGACTCCAAGCAGGGAGGGAGCAAGGGGCTGCCAGAGGGAAGGCCTGAGAGAGCTGACCCAGGCCGGAAGGGGGTAATCTATCTGAGAGATAGATCCCAGGTGCGTCTGTGTCAAATTTCCCGAAGCATCAGCGTCTCCACGACTCAAAATGATTTAAAACCATTTGGCTGTCAAGCAAGAGGGCAAAAACCCAGCACAACCTCAGAAAGCTTATGTAATTATTGTCAAGAGACCTTTGTGTGCCGGTGAAAGAGGTGATTATAAACACAAAGAAACTCCTCCCAGCTGTGCAAGTCAATACCCCCCCCCCCCCCCCCCCCCCCCCCCCCCCCGGGAGAGTGAGACTGGAGGTCCCTGCCACTGTGACAGTCGTTCTTGCAGAAACTGTCCAGATGAAGGATTTCAAAGTCTCTTTATCCTGGACACTTTATATCACAACACAACACAAAACGAACTTCCCACATTTAATTGCCGCAACTTTTTATCAGAGATGGGGCTTGTGGAGTAGCTCAGAGCCTGGAGGAAATGGCTCCTTGAGATTCTCAGAGGACAGCAGAGGAGAAAAGAGTGAGTTTAGGGACAGGCACTGGCTGCTGGTCTGGAGGTACCATTTCCCACTCAGCAGGGGGTGGAGGCATAGCCTGAGCAAACCGGTTCAGACCCAGAGGGAGCTGGCCTCCATATGCTGCTGCGGTATTGACTTGCACAGCTGGGAGGAGTTTCTTTGTGTTTATAATCACCTCTTTCACCGGCACACAAAGGTCTCTTGGCAATAATTACATAAGCTTTCTGAGGTTGTGCTGGGTTTTTGCCCTCTTGCTTGACAGCCAAATGGTTTTAAATCATTTTGTTTCTGTGGACACTACGGGTCCCTGGCTCTGTGGTGGGAGAAAACCTTCTGGCCTGATAATGAGCTTCTACCTGGGTGGGTGATGGAAGTGAGATTGCGGATCCAGACAGAACTCAGGGCTGGAAGGGAAGGAATGAGGAATTGGAATTGGGAGTGGAACTGTGGCTTTGATGTGAATTGCTGTGGAACTTGGGCTGGACACGCCAGGGCCTCATGCTCCCTACAAGAAGACCATAGTTTGGCCGACAAAAGTTGACTCGCCTACCCTTCTTTACCCTTTCACATGCTGAGAGTCTTAAATGTTAGGGTGCTGAGTATTTCTAGAGGTCAACTCTCCCTCAGGCTGCAGCAGTGTAGCTGATGGCTGGGTAGGGTTTGCTTTCTATACTAAGGACCATTTCATCTCTGGCTTTTCCTCCCAGATCAAGAGGCTCAGCTTGGGAGGGAGCTGGGCATAAAAGCCCAAGTGATGCCAGGCACCCGTCAGACAAGTGTCACAGCTTGAATATCTGGGTCTTGGGTTTTGACTGTGAAGGGTCTTTCATGGGCTCCCATGCTGGAGAATTTGGTCTCCAGCTCATGGCGGAGTTAGTGGCAGGAGCATCTTTAGCGGATGCAGCCTCAGTTTAGAGAGAGTGGTACTAGGGCTGTGCCTAGCGGTCTGGTAGTGGCCCCACTTCCTGCTTCTCTCTGTGTCATGCCTACAGCTGCAATGTGACACGTGGTGCTTGTGTTCCCACGGCCATGCTTTCTCCATGATGCAGTCTGTCCCCCGACTGAGGCAGAATAAACCTTTCCCGAGGATGCTACTTGTCAGGCATTTGATGCAACGAGAAAAAGTCACTTTCTAGTTCACGTTGACATAATCCATAAAATAATACTAAGAGGTGCGGTGGCTTTACTTCTGACCATAATCTAATACTTTTGTCCTTCTATCCCTTTCACTGTGTGAGGACACATCTGTCCCCTATGGGGCTGGAGCAACAAGATGTCACCTTAGGAGCTACCCTCATCAGAACAGCCAGGACCTAGACTGTGCATTTCCCAGCCTCTCACATTGCGAGAAATTTAATTTGTTATTTATGAATGACCCAGTCTCATGTATTTTGTTCCAGCAGGTGGACTAGGAAACCAGGCTGCTCTGAAAGTCCTTGCACTGAAGCTGGGCCATTTTCATCACTGCTCAAGGATAAAGGACAAGATAGACACAGATAGGTCACACAAGATAGGTCACAGGGTCCTGCAGAGCTGTGCCCGGGCCAATATAAGCCCAGGAGGCACACATCTTCAAAGCACCCCTCCCCTTGAGGGGGAGTGCCAGCAGCTGGGAAGGTCCAGTGAGCACACTTTGTCAGGAGTGGGTTGGATTTGGCACCTGCATACTTTTAAGTGCTCCTCTTGGCCACGAGTTGAGACAAACACTGCGTTATCCTTTAACGCATGACCCTTTTGAGGTCAAATGCGTTGTTTTAGGTCACAAAGCAGTGGCTATCGGAGGCAGGGCTTTCATCCGAGAGCCTTCTACTCACCCATCCTGTGCCCCCACACTCGGCAGGATCTATGTTTTGAAAGTCACCATCTGTAACTTGGGCTAGGAATGGGCTCAGTTAGTAGGTGGCGTGGCTACTGTGCACTACTTAGAAACTGTGGTTGCACATGCCTGTAACCCTGGTATGCATGCCTGAAGGTTAACCCCAGCTACACGGCATGTTTGAAGGTCATCCGTGCTTCACGATAGGTACTATTAAAAGAAAGAGGCAAAACCAACCCCTTAAGTGTCAAGGTCTTAAAGCCAAAGGCAGAATGCACTTAGGTTTTCTGAAACTTAGATGGGCCCTGAGAGTCTCTGGGTGGAGTCAGGGGAGCAGGCTCCACTTCGCACTGCTTTCAAGGCTAGACTGTATTTATAAAGACAATAACATTGGTAATGCTGGTGACCTGGGTGTGAATCAGAGAAGTGTCATGAGCCCTGGACAGACAAGACTTGACCCTGTGCCTGAAGACAAAGTGAAGGTAGTGGGGCTGTATCTCTCTCTTCATTAAACACACAAGTCACATTAAATATATATTTGCTTGAGTAAAATTATTCCCGTGGACTATTGCAAGCAAGCATAGCGACTATGTTGTTGTGGGGGAAATAATAGCTAATAGCCTAAGCATTAAGTTACCAGCTATTCAAGGCCATTGATCTGTGAAGCCCTGGTAGGCAGAAGCCGTGTCCTATATCTTTCGGGATACAAAGGTCTATTGCAGTGTTGTGTAAGATGAACTTTATACCTTGGTGCAGTAGGACTCTACGGAGAGGTGTTTAGTCTGCATTAATGGTGTGATCAAAGATGTCTTTTAAACTCCTTGGAGTTCACAACTCAGCGTTAGCATATTTTACATTTCAATTCTCACTTTTGACTTCAAAGATAAGTTTGAAAAGTTATTGAACCAAATAACTTGCAAAGTAACTGCAATGCTTATGTGCACCACTAGATGACTCTGTCCTCTTGTATGCTTCTTGGAAAGTTAGGAAATGAGATACCACTGACCCAGACCACAGCCACAGCCTCTTGAAACCACCTGTGTGTTTGGTTGCTCTTGCTATCAAAAAAGTTACTCATCGGAACTGAGTATCTACATTATTGATACATAATTGTTGTTTTTTTTCCCTCAAGTATGACAAACACATCTTTAGTCATCTTTGCAGACATCTGTAAGTTTGGTTTCATATAATAAAATTGTGACATTCTGGATTTATGCAATGCGTTCTTTTTCTTTGAGCAAATTTTCCATATTATGATAAAGAAAAATGTATTGAGAGTGATTATTGACCTAGAAGAGATTATTGACCTAGAAGGGCCTATCAATGGGGCCCTTCACACAATGAGCCCGTCTTGCATTTCCAACATTATGTCGTATGTATGGTTTTCACAATCTTATTTAGGACTTAGCTTTCATTTCGGCTACAGTGCTTATATCAAATATAGTTGACTAATATTTGGACATTTGTAGAAAAGACAGCCTGTTGACACCATGCCTTGAAGGAAAGAAGCACAGAGATAGACTCCTGTAATCTATTCTCTCTTTGAAATTCTCGTATCCTCTCTCCACTGTTTCCCATTCTTTAACATCTATTGGTTCCTATCAGCCTTTACATTTTTCTTTGGGAACATATCATGGTATATAAAACTTGGAAAAATCTATATGAATGGCTTTTTTTTAAAGAAAATGCGTTTTAATTATTATAATCTAAAACCTTGAATATTCTTTGTGAGAGAAAAAGGCATATTGATCACAAAGAAAGTGCAAGGGCACACCCTCTCAAGGCACCGATTCTTCCTTGATGGTAATTTTTAAAATGCAGGCAGCCTTTGTGGGGGACAGAGGAGTCTTAGATTCATAGCTACACACTTAGGAGCTCCAGAGAAATCCAAAGGCAATGGACTGTAACTCTCCTTCCAACTGGGAGCTACGAGTCTTATTCAAATCGCCACATTTAGCGACATCCCTATCCAATGCCAGTTTTTCTTTTTCTTTTTTTTTTAATTTAAGTAATAACCAATCCCCTAGTCTCTGTGGGAGGACTAGACCAGGCACAGGTAAACTGACCCTCCTGGCTAGACTCCCTAATATCCTCCAGCACTGTTTTGCTAGCTCACTCTGGCCTTTCTTCAGGAGGGATGGGCTGCCTGTCTTTTACTGACTGTGAAACTCCGTCTGTGTAGTTTTTGAC